CTGAGGGTACACTCTGCCCCATCATCCAGATTGTTAATGAAGATACTGAACAGGATAGGGATTGGACGCAGTATTGACCCATAGGGTACACTCTAAAGTTACTGGCCTCCAACTAGGCTGTGGGCCACGGATCACAAACCTCTAAGCCTGGCCATTCAGTCAGTTTCAGTGTACCTCCGTGTCTGCTCTAGCCCAGTATGGGATGCATCCAGCTCATACTTCATCATGTCCCTGTCCTGGGTTCGGCTACAGCAGTCATTTTTCTCCTTCTTAGTAGCTGGTGCAGTGCTGTGTTTTTGACTTTCAGCCTGGGAACAGCGCTAATAACACCGATGTTGCTAGTTGTTGCCAAGCGATGCTTACTCTGACCAAGGACTTTCTCAGTCTCATGCTCTGGCAGGGAGGAGGGGAAGCTGGGAGGAAGCAGAGGCAAGACACCTGACTCAAACTGGCCAAAGGGGTATTCCATACCATAGCACGTCATGCCCAGTATATAAACCGGGGGGAGTCACCCAGAAGGCCCCGATCGCTGCTTGGGTCGGACTGGGTATCGGTCGGCGGGTGGTGAACAACTGCATTGTGCATCACTTGTGTTTATTGTTTTCTTTTCCTTTTCCCTTTCAGTTTTACATTCTCTCCCCTTGTTATTTCCCTTATCATCATTATTACTGGTGGTAGTAGTAGTGGGTTTGTATTATACTTTAGTTACTGTATTATACTGTATTATATTTTATTATACTGTCTTATACTGTATTATACTTTAGTTCTTATCTTAACCTGTGGGATTTACATTCTTTTGATTTTCCTCCCCATCCCTCTGGGAGCTGGAGGGAGGGAAAAAGGGGCGAAGCAAGCGAACGTGTGTGGTTCTGAGTTACTGGCTGGGCTTAAACCATGACAGTCCCCTATGAGAATGTATGTGGAGATAGTGCTGAAGCCTTCCTGAAGCCAAAGTAGCCACTATCTACTGCTCTTCTTTAATCTATTGAGACAGTCATTTAATCATAAAAGGTTAATAGGTTGGTTAAGCATGTCTTCCTCATTGTAAATCTATGCTGACTATTCTTAAGTGACCTCTGTTTTTGTGTGTCTGAAAGTGGTTTCCAGGATTAGTTGTTCCATCACTTTCCCAGGGACTGATCTGTAGTTACCTGGATCCTCCTTCTTGCCATTTCCTGAGACAAGAGTTTAAAAGCCCAAGATTTCTGTCTTGCTGATCTGAATGTGCTTCAGCAGATGTAAGAATTTAATCCTGTTTAAAAGCAGTAGTACGACTTCTTAATGTTGTTTTCCTTCAAAAAGGTTTTACTGAAATAATCAGAAAGGCTCAGTACTGTAGAAAAGCAAGTTGTCTGCCTTTCATACTGTTTTTTTTTCTTCCTTTCTTTTTTTTTAACTTCACCAACTAAACAAATAAAAGTGCAGAACAGGATTTCTCATATTTGGTAGCAAGCCAGGCTTGTAGAGTGTGTGTTTTGTAGTTCCTGAGAAGTAAAATTTGAAAAATATTTTTGTAGGTCCAACAATAAACTAAGTTCTGGAGAAGAAAGTAAACAGAGTGATACAAAAACTTTGTATCAAGTGAATGAATCCCCTTGTCACTCAAGGCCAAACCTAATGAGAGTTATTAGAAAAAGGGGTTACCCTGAAGAAAGTGAAAACAGAGAAGAGGACAACTCTGATAACAGAAATGCAGAAGAGTGTTTGATTTTAGAAAAAACAAGTGTATCAGTGGTAAGTGCTGATCTTGTGTTTTGAGCCAATTTATCTCTCAGTTCTTGTGTTTAAGTTCTAAGAAACACAGGTGGTGCAGAAATCCAATGTATGACTGGGAAAGTTTAATACGATTTTTTTTTTTTTTTCTAAATTCACTATTGGAAATGATGCTGAATAAATGGACTTCGAATCTGTGGAAACATTTAATGTACGCTATTGTCTTTGGGTTTAGAATTTATGTCGTCAGAAGTCTGCATTATCAGAAATACATGCGTACACTGTTACAAGTTAATTTAATAACTTTTATTTATTGAACAACGGAAATTAAGGCAGCTGTCTAACATCAGATACTACCTAAAATCCATATAAGTATACTTACAAGTTGAAGCGTATGTGAACAAAGTTCAGATCTTCCTCTGCTTAAGTTTGCTCAACAGGTCTAACCTAGCCCAGATTAGTTCCTTCTCTGTCTAACTTTGCAATAATTGAACCAAGTTTATCTGCTGTTCCTTATTTTCTAGATGGGTAACTAAAATCTCACAGTTAACATAATATTTTTGCCCTGTAGTTATAATTGGCAGGACTGTGCTTGCTGATGATTTTTGTGTTTGGGGATATGTTTCTGTGTGTGTGTTTTGATTAATATTTAGATACTCTTCTGTAAACTGTTGTAGTTTTTTCTTCCGAATTTGATCCCAGAGCAGAAAATATTTTTTTCTTTCCTTTAGATTATTCTTTAATGGGTAGTTTTAGAAAATTATTCATCTTTACAGCTTCTGAAGAGTTGCTGCTCTTGATGAGCTGAGCATGACCTTGATCTGTTAACAAACAGCAGCTCTGGCATTATAGGTAATACCATCTAATGACGCTTCTGCTAGAGAGCCCAAAATTAAAGAAAATGAGGAAAAAAGACCTAAACTATCAGAGATGATAGCCAGCCATGTTTTCAAGAACCTTAAATTTAGTTATTTTAATCTTTTTGTCCTCAAAACCAGTTCACGTTGTTTGGCACTTAATATGGCAGTAATTGTCTCCTCCATTCAGCTAAAATCTAGTAACACAGTGGAAACTGCATCATTCTCGGAGACTACAAGAAAACACAATTTTACAGACTCTGTTGGAGAAGCATCTTGTAAAAGAATGAGGCAGGATAGTAGACTCCAGTCTCCAGAGGTATCATCAGAGAGTGAAAGTCAAGTAGAACAAGAAGATTCTCAGCTTTCTGCCCCGAAGGAAAAAAAATCAGACAATCTCACAAGGTAAAACAACTAATTTTTGCTTGTAACCTCAACTTACTGGTTTTGGCTTTTGTTTTAAAAATGTAATTATCAGCCATTATTTTGCAGTGTGCTACATGAGTGCATGCAGGATGTCAGTCATTGTCTTTCATCTGAAGTCTACCAGATGCATGCAGGTTTCCCTATGTCTCTTACCCTGCATGCATGCTTATAAAATGGACATAGCAAGTACTCCTACCAATCCATCCTAGGTCTATCTGTGGTTTCAACAGGAATGAAAGACTTTCTAGTACCAGTATTTGGGGCACAGGGATTGTGGGATTAATCTAAACAAACTCTGTGGAAATGTCCTCTGCTGCTATTTATTTCGCCTTCATAACAGTTTATCAAGGAGGATGTTTTTTGGTGGAAGTTTGGAATTACTTCTGGTACTCAAAGTGGTGGTGCTCATCATTTTGAGGAGGGAAACAGCAGCCGATGAGGGAAGAGACTGCTGTCTGAGAAACTGGAGCAGATAATTAGTTATCTAACAGTTCTAGTTTCTAGACATTAGTCTGCTCAGCTGAAGTGGGACAGTTTGGGGCTCCTAGTACAGCTTTAGCAAAAGAGAACTGGAAGCGTTCCCATGAGATAAAAAGCATTTGACTTACACATCCCTCAAAATGAAAATTAATTTATGCTTTTCTAATCAAAGAATTCTGTATCTTGTAAATATAATTGTGCAGATTTCCAAAGCTCTGAGACTCTGTAATACAGATTTACAATTAATATTTTGTGCATACATGGAGAAATTAGGATTTCTGATTAAAGGGTACATGGATGCATTTTTGTCACGTTACATTAGGAAGTAAACAGATTGTACTGTTGGTCACAGTGATGCCTTTTTATTATTTGAGTTTGTTTTGATTTGTAGTACCCCTTTGTTTGAAATGTGTTGGACTCTGTTGTTTTTTAAACATGCTTTTGTCCTTTACTTTAGAAGGCAGTCCAGGAGGCCAGCAAAACGGATAGCGCTGCCAAAACATGTCTCTGAGCTAAGAACTGCTGCCTCTTCTTCCTCTGAATGTGAGGCTGATTGCAGTGAGAAGGGGAATCAAAGGCAAGAAGTTAAACTGAGTGTTACTAGAGGCAAAAGTCTGAAAACTGTACATAGAAAGAAATCCGTGAAGGAGCACAGAAGTTCAAAGATAACCTTGGTGACCCTCCGGGCTTCTCAAGAGGAGGAGGAGGAGGCAGATGACTTTGAGCCTGATGATGAAGATGGATACTTTGCACCCGAAGAAGTGAACAAAGCTCCAGTGTTTGTTCCTATAGGTCTTCGATCTCCAAAACCTGTTCCTGTTCAGATAGAGGAAACCATGGAGGAGGTATCATGTAGCTGTGTTCTGCATGTGTACTTTTGTTTTGATTGCTTAAAAAGCTTTTATTCTAATAGAATCTCAGAATAATTGGGTATTATCTCCGTTTAGTTCAAGTTGTTAAGAATGGCACTGAGAGTAGCAGGGATGTCACCTGGCACATGGTTTTGAACAGAATACTACATCAGTCTGAGGTCCAGTTATCAAGAGTTACATGTTTTTTGTCTTTCTGGACAATTTGCAGAGTTGGAAATTTAAGCCTAGAGTGCAGGCCCGTGTTTTAATTATGCTCTTAGACTAGAATAGAACTCAATATTGTTAGACTGTAGAAAGACTTGGTATCACATCTAGCAAGACCAGTCACTAGAGAGGAATTGGCATACTTGTTATCGGGGAACTATTTAGGTTTGGGACTCTGTTCAAGGCCTTTGAAGGGGATTGTGTTCAGAGGTTTAGATGTTTTTCTACTCTTTTTCCCTATCTTTGCTTTTTTTGGCCCTTCTAGCTTGTCTTATCTCAGTGATATGTCTTCACAGCTTTTTTTTTTAATTTTTGCTTTACTCTAAATCTGTTTATCTGACCTGTTCAATTCACATCTTAGGTCTTCATCACTACTTCTTTCCACTCACTCCAGTTCTTTTTGCTTACTGGAAAAAGAGATATTTTCCTCTAATTGAAATCTTGATTTTTTTAATCTTTTTTTTTTTTTTTTTTTTTTTTTTTTGTCTAGTGAATTTATCACACTGTTTCTTTCTCTTGGTGAAAGAGCAAAAGAATTTAAAGCTTAGTCAAAACACCAAGGGTGACTCTAGAGTAATAATGGACAGTAAAGTTACTGCACAGAAAGTTTTGCTGAATCCTTTCATTTCAAAGATGTGGAATATGTATCATGTGTGTTTCCTGATTTAACGCATAGGAGCCAAGAGTACTAGTAAGGAAGGAATATGGTTAGATACCTGAGGACTCAGCTGATGTCAAGTTTAAATAGATCACTGGAAAGTATCTGTAAAAAGTGCAAGCCTTTGAAAGCTGTTCAGATTGAGCAACATTTTCCTAAGAACCTCACTAGAAATATCATAAACTTTCAATTCCTTGTTCCTGAAAATATCAAGTGTCTGAAGCTCTCAGTGAAAAGACAGTGTTAAAGAAGAAGGATAATAAAAAAATACAGGTAAAATAATGGGGGGGTTGGGAAGATGTGTATTCCCTAGTCTGTCTTTGGAAAAAGGCTGAGCTGTTTTTCCTTCCTGAAGACTTAAAAAGCAGAAAAAATATGAAAACTAGCAAAACCCATTTGAAGTAAACAGCCATCATGAAAGACCTCAGCTGCATAACTTAGTCTGGTGGAATAATAAGCAAGTAAACTCAAGGTCTTAGGTTGTCTCTACAAGCAGCACTACCAGTGCTGCCTCCTGTTCATACAGCTGCTGCCTTCTTAAATCAGAAGGTGTGTAGTGTAAGACTGGATTTTTGGGAAGAATCCCACTAAATGTTTAAGATGTACTAATTATATGTGGTTTATAAAAACTTGCATTTGGCATATTTTCTTTTGGGCTGAGGAACTGAAATACTTTTAAAATTATTTTTACAGCTGGAGATACCTGTGAATATACCAGATGTGCAGGTGGCTACTGATGCTGAAAGTCTCTCTCGTGCATCTGTACAGCCACTGGCACAAAGTGAGGAAAAAGTAAGCACCTCAATGGCAGTAAGAATGCTTTTTGGTTGTTTTTTTTGTTGTTGTTTCATAGCACATATAAAGTGCCTGTGCCTGATTGCCTTTTCTGCTTTTAACAGTATAGCTTAATAGACTCTTAACCTGTCCCATACAGATATAGGGACACAGCTATGAAAAAACTATGTAAATGAACATTGTTAGCCTTTAAAATACACGTTCAAAGCAAGGGTAAACTTTGGACAGAGAATTTACCTGTAATTTAAGTGTGTAATTAGAATTGTGCATTCATCTTATATAGGACTTTAATACTGTTTTTCTTTGATTTAAGGAAACAACCATACATGAAAATCCAGAGGTGGACAAAGGTAGGTGTGAAACAATATTGTTAATATCTTTCCCATTAACTTGTTACCAGTATGTAGTTACTCTTGTTGGAAGTTTTGAGGTTTATATATCTTATTAAAAATACCTGCTCATGAGATACTAGATACTTGTATATTTTGGAGGAGATTTAAACTATTTTCTTTCTATTCTCTGTCAAGTATGGGGACCAACCATTGCCAGGTTATGTTTCCTGGGGTCAGAATTGCCTTTTGCCATCTACCTCTTTCCTGTGCCGTAGTAGTTGTCCACAGGTTGCTTACTTGCCACTTGCTTAATGTGTGACTGAGTAATACAATGATTGGGCAGATTTGTAGCTTTGTCAGCTCTGTGGTCTCTGACCTTAATATCCTAAATCTGTAAAATAGCATGTGTGACAGACTGTGATCAGAGTCTTCTAGAAGCGCATATTCTTTCCATGTGGGATTTTACAAACTCTTATGGATCTATTGATTTTTAGAATAGCTTTCAAATTTTAAATACATTCTCTATACATCTTCCTAGATTGAGTAGGCCTACTGTCTTACTTGAAGGAGGGGAAGCCTACTTTGTTCTTTCAATTAATTTCAGTACTATAGTTTTGGAAGATGGAAATGTTTTATGAGTATGAATATGGTAGGCAAAGGGATGTACTCTGGAGAGTGAATTAGGAGTTGGGAGTCTAAATTGGGATATGGATTAACACTATAGGTTAGGCATTTCAGTGATTAAACTGTTACTGATTCCCACCTCCCCTGCTCTCCCAATCCTCTTCCTCAACAGAATGAGGGGAGAAAAATAAAATGAAAAGTCTCTTGTGCTGAGATAAAGACAAGGAGACCACTTACCAAAATGACTCAACTTGGGGAAAACTAATTTAATCTGTTGCCAATCAAAATAGAATAGGATGGTGAGAAACAGGTCAAAACCAAAAAAGCAACTTTCTCTTCCTGCCGCCTTAGGCTCAACTTCACACCTTCATTTCCAACTTCTCTGACTCTTTTCCCCCAAGAAGTGCAGGGCAAAGGGGAATAAGGGTTACAGTCGGTTCCTAACAATTTCTGCTGCTTCTTCCTCCTCATGGTCTTCCCCTGCCCCAGTGTGGGTCCTTGTTACAGGGTAGGGTCCTTCAAGATAAATCGGCTCCATCAGGGGTCCTCTATAGGATGCAGCTGCTTCAGGGAATAGTTACCTGCTCCAGCAAGGTCTCCTCCACAGATTGCAGAAGAATGTCTGCTCCCACACATGGAGCACCCCCTCCACTCCTTCCTTACTGCCCGGGATTCAGCTTTAACAGTTACTTTTCTCCTTCCTAGTAGCTGGCACAGGGCTGTGTTTTGGCTTCAGTCTGAGAACAGTGCTGATAACACACCAATGTTTTAGTTATCGCTGTGCAGCGCTTACCCTGATCAAAGACTGGTTTAGTCTCATGCTCTGGCCTGAGGAGGGGCACAAAAACCTGGGAGTGAGCAGAGACAGGACACCTGACCCAAACTGGCCAAACGGGTATTCCATACCACAGCTCGTCATGCTCAGTGTATAAACTCGGGGGAATCACCTGGAAGGCCCAGATCACTGCTTGGATCAGGCTGGGTATTGGTCGGCAGGTGGTGAGCAATTTCAATGTGCATCGCTTGTGCTGACGGTATTTTCTCCTTTCCCTTTTTAGTTTTATATTCTCTCCCCTTGTTATTTCCCTTAGTAGTAGTAAAGGTAGTAGTTTTGTATTATACGTTAGTTACTGGACTGTTCTTATCTCAACCTGTGGGGTTACATTCTTTCGATTCCCCTCCACATCCCACCCAGAGGGAGGGGGGAAGGAGAGGAGGGTGAGTGAGTGGCTGCATGGTGCTGAGTTACCAGCTGGGCTTGAACCATGAGACTTAATCACAGGGCTGTTTCTGACACTTTTCTCCTCACTCTTCACTGCTGTGCAACATTTTCCCCTTTCTTAAATGTGTTTCCAAAGGTGCCACTGTCTTGGCTGGCAGGCTTGGTTGTCTCTTGTGATGGAGTCAGTTGGAATCAGCTGTGTCCAGAGCAGCCCCTATGCTGCAAACACCTTAACCATGTGTACCAAGTACACCATTAAAGGCAATAATGCTGCTGATCAGGTTTTTTACAATAGTTCTAATTTAGTGGATGAGAATTGCTGTCTCTCTCCAAGCATCTTGGTCTATGAATGGCAACAATTAAAAAAAATACATACTTCACTATACTGATGATACTGTCAAACAAATAAATGGATTTGTGGTTCATGTGCTTGTGACTTTTAACATGTGTGTACAACTTTGCAGGAATTAATGATGGAAGCACTGAAGCTGCTATGACTTTACTTGCAATGGGTGATCCAATGTTCCAGTTAAAAACAAGCACTGAAGGTATGACCTGATTTATGGGACAAAGCCTTGCTTGTACTTTGAGTCCATGTAAGAAGGGATGGAGTAGTGGCTGTATAGCTCTTCCATGTGTTGCTGCATAGCAAGGTCAAGAAGCTTTTAGCCCTACTGAATTGTAATGCATACTGAGACTAGGCAATGTAGCTTGGCTGGAAAAAGTAAGGCACCTTACTAGAAAAATGTTTCTGAGACCTGGTTTAGGAAGGACGTGTTTGAATTAAGGTGGTCGTGTAAATAGGGCAAAAGAAAGTAATCAGGCTTCAATGACCATAACTATCAGTCATATTTTCAGGCCTTTAACCTGAAAGATAGCTTTTTCTGTCTTAACTAGCTACCACACCTGAGTTCAGTCTCTTCTTTTTCTGTAGTCTTCTATTTAGATCCGATCTGCTTTCATTGGTTGAATGCTAGTTTCTGCCTATCGAAAGTGTGGACTTAGGACTGTATTTACCTGGGATTTGAATTTGCATCTTTGGAGAATGCAGACTTTGTTAAATGAGATTTGAAGTTGAATATCTGTGAAACAGCTTTATGTATGTGCCAAACCTGAGTCTTTTAAATTATGTTTTTCTATTATGTTTCTTTTTCTAACCAGAACAAACACATGCGTTACCTACTCAAGATGAGTTGGACGTGGCCAGTAGTGCTGCCTGCTCCAGACAAGATAGAACTTCTAGTCAGGGTTTACTTTCTTCAGACACTTCTACCAAGGAATTGGTCCCTTCTGAGGATGGAAGCAACATTAACGTAGAGGATCAAAGAACTGGCACAAGAACAGATGTCAAAGAACATTTTGAGAAAAATGCTAAAGATACCAGGTTAAATTACTCCTTCATTTTCTTTAGGGACAGAAGTCTTCTCACTTTGCTTACTTCTGCTAAGTTTATTTTTATTGAATTGCAAGCAGCCTTGCTTTAGCAAAGGTTTCTCAGTATATGTAATTCAGTATATAATCTAAAAAACTCCTCTTGTCTCTTTCTTACAACTTTCGTGAGACACTGTTACATAATTTTGCCGATGTAGAACTTGTTCTTTACTCCTGAACTTAAGTTTACTCGGGTGGGGAGAAAGGAATATTCAAATTTAGTTGCTATGGATCACTGTTAATTACCAAGCTCATTTTCCTAAAGTACAGCTAATCAGGCCAAGGGAACTTGCTTATGTGTCACTGCTGCTGTGGGATGTATATCAAAGATTTAGAGCAGAGATGGCTAGGAGCTGGTTGATCTTCTATCATTTTGTCATGCTTTTTGTCTTTTAACTTTGCCCAAGCATTTGTGAATGTTGAAACAGCTTGATGGAACGTCTTTTCAGAACTGGTGATCATGTACTATTTAAAGGATTGCTGTAACAAACTATCAGGTTATACTCCACTGAAAAATTATAATCAAAGATAAACTATTTTAAATCCAGTGGTTCTTCTATTATAACCAGAACTTTCTACTGTCTGATTGGCATTACATTTCTGATCTTCTCATGTTTTTTAAGAATCTCAATTACTTGTTTTTTCTGTAGGTAGGAAACATCTTGGTTGACAACATACCTGACTTTTCCAATTCCCAAATTCTCTTTCTTTTCTGTTCTGCCAAATAGTCTTCTATCTCCTCTGCAGCCTGTATTTCAGCTCTTCATTGTCTCATCTACTCCATCTCTCTTATTTCTTCTCTGCACTAACTGTCAAAAATCAGGAACTGTATTGATGGCATTTTTCCTTTTCACCTGCAGTGGTAGCTCTTTGCCTACGGTGAATAGTGTGAGCCTGACACAAGGCAGGCTCTTGGAGCCTGAGCCAGCCTTAGGAATATTGAGGTCCAATGAAAACCTAAGTCAGAAGTCACTTAATACAAATGTACTTGTGGAACAACTAGAGCAAATTCAAAGTGGTAAGCCTCCTTCTTATCCTGGGGTTAATAATTTTGTAGTGTGTTTATACATGCGCATCTATATATATAGGCATTTTAATATACAAAAGCTTATATAAAAATATATAAATATAAATATATATATGTACATATATATACACATGCATGCACACAAAAAAATACTAATTGAATTTTCATCCTTATGTATCTTAGAGTCTACAACACTGAGAGGTACTGCGGAAATGCAGAAGGTGGAACTAGAGGAGGTCAGGCCAGCTGCAGATGATTCTTTGGTTTTTCATGACTTTGCAACCAGAAGTATGGAACTTAACAAGCAAGCAGACAAAATTGAGAGGTAGGAAGAATCATCAGTGGATACTGGCTTTATTCCTGAAGTCTCTGAAAAATGTGCAGCTGAAGCGCATATGTAGTATGTGTCTGTGATGGAAACAGACATCCAGATATTGTGCTTACAGACATTGTGTGTGTTTATGTACATAAGTGTACAGTATAGACTGTTATTTTAAGGGGTTTCTCTCTGGTCCTACAGCTCTTAGAGGCAAAAACATTAACTTCTGTTTGCTGTTTCAGGACTTAGTAATCACTTTGCTGCTTGATTGTCTCCCATAAAACTGCATCTGAAAGGAAATGCTAAGGAGTTGATCAATTTAGAAATGTTAATGAGCTTGTAAGGCATCCTGCTTGGTCATGCTTTTTCTAATAAGATCTCAATTAGCTATGTTAGGAAGGCTTTTTCCTGAAATAGTTTATTTAGACTTGTTCGAACATTACGCATTCTGTTCAGTAGAATGATCTAGTATTTAAACAGGTGACCTGTTTCTCTGTAACTACATGAGCTTCATATTAAGTATGTAATTGTACAGAATTTATCCCATGCACAGACCATGTCAAACTGATTTTAAATTAACTAGATATATACCTTACAGAACACAAAAAGAGATGAGAGATGCTTGTGGAAAATCAGAAGCATTAAGAACTACATCACCAACACCTGAAAAATCTCACCTTGTACTAGAGCATTGTCCAAATCAGAGTTCTGTGGATGGACTTCCTGAGCAAAATCCTTATCCTCCAGAGCACAATATATGCACAATCAACTTTAGTGAGGTAAAGAACCCCATTTAATTACACTCTAGAAGTGTCCAGTTTCTGAAATCCTGTAGAGGAAGAGGTTTTACATGGAAATGTACTCTCCCATTTTAAATACCTGGAACTTCAGCTGGTGAATTAAACTTTCTTTTTTTGCAAAGGCATAACCAAACTTAATTTTTTGGACAACTTTAATCTTTGCAAGCCTCAGTTTATAGCATTTCAGCAATAAGTGATAAATAAATGTTAGCAAAACTTTGGGCAATTTTTTAAAGAGTTTTGATGGAAGAAGTTACCTAGAACTTGTGTTCATTCAGTATGATCTCTGTTGCAACCTGTTGATGTGTCAAGACTGATCTAATGGTAGAACAAGGTACAAGAATGATTTGGGTCTTACAGGACTAGCAGAGAGTGTGAGAAGAGGCTACTTGCAGTAGAGTATACCTGGTTTTAGCAAAGGTACCTGCCATAAGAAGGAAGGAATGGATGGGTTGCAGAGCTTGGTGTTTTTCTTTGGCACTCAGTCATTTTGTAATGGTTGGTGGCATTTGCTTTCTGAGTGCCACTGAGCAATTTATTGTGTGAGTCATCTCTGACAGAGTTGTGCTGTAGGAAGTATAAATTTATTTTGACAAACCATCAATACAGACGATGAGCTGCATATAAATTTTTATATTGCCCAAGTGTTTCGTGTCCTTGTCAGGCTAGTATCCTTCAACCTAGCATAGCTAGAAGTAAAAGCTGACAAATGTAATTATGATGATGTCATTAGATATTTTGGCTCTTCAGCATTTGACATGCTTTGTTTCTTTCCTGTTTTCTTGAGTTATTTCTCAGGTTTATTAACATTTTATTTCAACTGTGTTATTTCTAGAATGAAGCTTGTGCTCAGGATGATCAACAACAATGCATAAGCAGAACAGAAGAGACTTCAGGTATAATGTGCTAATATTCCAAGTTAGCAAAAGCCCACAGTGGTGTATCTTGCGGTTACACAAAGGAAAAAAACCAAATTCTCATTTACATGATTTAAAAATTTATTTAATTAATAAAAACAATGACCCCCAGTGCATTCCCCTCCCTAGCCTCTTACTAAATTTTGTTAGTGCAAACCAGGCTTGTGAACTTTTTGAATAGCACTTCATTAAGTTTAAATATCAGTGAAAGGAAAATTTCTTGCTCTCTCCTCCCTGCTGTGAGCTCCTGCTGCTTAACTCGTGCTAGGTTTAGCAGTTGTTAGAGCCTTTATGAGCCTCTGACTCACTTATCCATCAAAAGTTGGATGTCACAGAGTGAGAGAACCTGTGTTGTTTTCCACTGGTTTAGTGAACTATAGTGGCTTATGGTGTTGTCAAGTGTCAGAGTTGTGTGAATACAAGGGATGGACTGTGCAAGTGTGGATCAGGGGAGGAAGAAGAATTGGGGAAGAAAAAAGATGGCAACCAGACTTTCCTCCTTCTAGCTGTAGTGAGTCAGCAGATTAATGCCTATCTGATTAGATGTGATGAAGGAAATGAAGGTGATGGCTTCTTTTCCCTAGACCAAATTGAAAGGGAGCTGTATGGGAAAATCACTGTGTGAAAAGCCCAGAATACATACTTTACATAGAAACTGCAGTCTGAAGTTGTAAATCCTGAGCATGTCTGAAAGATGGGGCTAATACTTCTTAGACATCTATTGTTATGCTCTGTTACTGCAAGGATCTTGCAACAGCATCTTAAATCATCTTTAATTAGATGAAGAACCACAGTTGAGTTCAGTTTGAAATAACAGCAGCTTTATATCAAGAATGGAATCTGTCTTAAGTAATGGTGCTGCAGTGTTTTCTATCTTTTGAAAACTTTACAAATGTTCTCACCTTAAATTTGTTATAATGGATGGGAGTAGTCACACATCTGTTGACTAAATAATTTATATTCTTCATTTATTAAATTCAAGACTATACTTCTCAGGTCCTCTTCTGCAAGCCTGCAGTAAGGGGAAAAAGCCTTTTGTTTACCATCAAAACAGCAGACTCCTGCCATTTAAAGAAGTAACAATACCTGACAGTTGCAATTAAAGACAGAGGAACATTTGACCACCATTACACAAGTTAAATTAAACTGCAAATTGTTCTTTAATGTCAGAACACCCATTAAAAAGGCTCCATTTCTATTAGGCGTTTTTAATATTCTTAATTCTGAGCAGTAATCAGGATTCCACTGCAATGAATAGGCTCCGGGGGTTACGATGTGTATCTCATCTATGAAGAAAGGAAGCATATTGTCTCAAGAATATCCCACTGCCTTTTTCCATGGAGAAATGAGTGCCTAAAACTTAATTACTTGGGGTAGGGAGGGCATGAAGAGAACAGTGTAATTTCAAACTTGAGTAACAGATTTTTGTTATTCTGTTATTTCCCTGAAAAAATGATAGTAGTGAACAATGATCACAGATGTCCAGAGGAGGAACAGACATTCATTTTAACCTTGGTGGAAATCCCAGCTGATTCAAAAGAGTTTGATGCATCTGTTTTGCTGGAACAAACTTCAGAACCATTACTACCAGCCCCGATACTTATCAGCCCAATAAATGCAAGGGAAACAAGTGTGACTGAAGTGGAGAGGTAAATGCTTTATTCTTGAGTAAAGCGAAATATTTTTTTGTGAACCTTGTTTGTTTCCTAAATGTGCATTACAGATTAGAACTTCTCAAGTACATCTTCTGTCTCACTGTTCCCTTCTGCTTTACCCTATCTCCCTAGTCTGCTGCTCCCCTAGATGACTTGCTGTCTTTTGAGACCATACTGGGGAGTGGAGGACGGTGTGGGAGCACGGGAGTAAAGATTCAACCGTGCATATAAATAATACTGTGTTGTAGGATCTCCTAGGGCACTTAATCACTTGTCTTATTTTTACATTCTATGAAAATATCAAGTACAATTCAAATAGAACAGTTTCTAAAAGTAATGAGATTGAATTATGACTAGAAAAACTCAAATTTCTAACTCAAAATAACACAGAAAAATGTTTCTCGGTACTAAATAGTACATTTGAAATTAGTATTAGATATTAAGCAAGAAAGAGTATCACCATAGATCCATGTGTAATTTATATACAGAAATGTTATAGAAAGTAAATTCGGGCTTTTGTACAGTCACACTAATGACTTCTTATATATTCAGCATTAGTTCATCAACAGCTGCAGCTGATGAATTTACTGCACCTTTAAACAGCAGTGTGGAAACTGAACACATAGAGGGTGCATCAGTAGAGCCTGTCCCGGATTTGCAGACAACGCAAAAAAGGTCAGCTGCTGACCTTGAAGAGAATAATTTTCCTCCTGCCAAGAAAATTCTCTCTAGTGTTGTAGTAGAAGATAACTTGGAAACCACTTATGAGGTGAGCTCATAATTTGGTAAATGAGTCTTCATGCATAGTGTAGATGAATAAAATGTAATAAGGCATCCTAATTTTAGTGGTGTCACTTGTGTAAAAATGTGCTGCCCGTACAACTTAAAGAAAATCGGCACTCACAGATTGCTTTTTAGTTTGCACTCCACAACAATTTGGGGAGTGTTAATTTAATATCAATTTTTCTCAAGAATTTATAAGCTCTCGGGTTTTATTCCTAGGCTTCCTAGTAGGCAGACTGGTTATGTGTCTGTCTTGGTTCATTCACTACAGCCTTTCCAACAATGACTGCAGGAGGGAGAACTCCGGGTGGTTATAGGATGACTGGCAGACTGTCTAGGTTCACTGAAGGATGTTATGTTTCCTCATGGTGTCTGTTACTTCACGAGGAAGTTGTTAGATATATTCCTATCTATTTTTAACATCACAAGTATTAGTTTAAAAGAACAAGCTGCAAATAAAAACTAGGCAGCATGTTTCCAGCTTCCCTCTGTGCTTTTAGAATATGACCAGGCTTATGGCAGTGACTACCACTGCTTTTGCGAGTAGCTAAGATTGTGTAGTATATCTGGGTGAAGGAATGGGTGATAATTCCCTACATGATTCAGAGAGCTTTTCTAGGAAGGACTGGATAACAAGCCTCTTCATTGATCTCTTATCTTGACATCCTTAAGTCATTTGTCATAACACCTTGAAAAGGAAATGAATTAAGTGATGAATGATACTGTACTGAAGATGTAGTCTTCTGTATCACTCCTGTTGTTAGAACTGTACATGCATGATATGTCTATATCAGCTTTCATTTTCTCTTATATTTTGAGAAAAAAAAAGACAAATAACTTTTCTCTTTCTTTTTAAAATACAGAGTTATTCAATTAAATCCACAAATGCTCCAACAGTAACTTCAGGTAGGTATATTTAAACTAGTAAAAGAAAGTATAATGAACGTAAATGCTTAATAAATCACAGTTTAATGCTGCTGTTGTGCTAAATAGTCCTCTCTGATGCTATCTAACTTGAAAATAGAAACAAATTTACCCTAATACCACCATTCCATGTTTTTTGGCATGAACTACGTGTGTTGGATTGTATAACTGTTAAGTTAATAATGGTTTTAAAAACATTGCTGTAGCTAGTCTGTTTGTGAAATCTGGGAGATTTTTGGGGCTAAACATATCTTCTCTTAAGCTAGTATTTCCACCTGTTGGAGGCATTAACTGATACTTTAACTGTACTAATTTTTTAAGCAAAATAATTCCTGTTTTATTTTGTCTTAAAAAAAAAAAAAAGGCACAAAATATAACTGTTTGAAAACCTTGTCTGCCTCTGAAGAACCAGGGGGAAAGCAGTATTGCTGACAAAACAGTCTTCAATGAGCCTGTGAAGTGTTTGGCAAACTGCTTTTTGGCCCTGAGAAAGCCTTTAAGGTGTAATTGTAGAAGCTTAAACTGCTAGATGACTCGATTAAGTCCAGTGGTATGCTGAAAAGGATGTGTGTGTGTGTGTGCTTTAAGACCACATTTCTACCAGCTTTTTCAGCTCTTTTGCAATAACATCTGTGAGATCTTACAGAGTTTAAAAGAAGACCATGAACTTTTAATCCTTAGTGGGGAGTTCAGAAAATAAAACTACCAAAGGAAAAAAAAAAACCAAACCCAAAACAACAAACCAGAAATCATCCCTTCTCTTGTAATGGTGCAAGCCTTCTTAACATCACACGCGTCTTTTGGGCTCTTGTGTTAGCCCGGAGGTTAAGTAACTGAAGTCTTTAAATGACTCTCCGCTACTTTTACAGGGAATCCTTTTCAAAAGACAGAGGCTTCAGTAAAAGAAAAAGTACCTGACTCTGTGTTGGTGTCTGAATCTATGTCACCACTGGCTGACAGGAGCCAGCTTGAGACTTTGGAGAACTGGGGAAAAGCACCACTTGAGGATTCAGCATCCAAACAGAAAGAGGAAGTAGTGTCTATTTTGTCCTCTAACAGAAAAGCAGAAATAAGTGGACAATGGAAGCAGGGGGATGTGCATGAAGCTGGACAGTTGGAACATACTGGAAGCCTAGCACCATCTTCAAAAACTCCATTACTCAGGTATTTATGCAATGTTTTGTTGGCCTTTCCTGTAAAAAAAGGACCATTTTTCCGTATTGAGAGTTTTGTATCCTTTTCCCACTTAGTATTACGTGAAGTGCAGTACCACTGTTTATGACCTATATGGCTAGAGTCACAGTATCTATCCTCTTCAGCAAATTAGAAAGAAACAAATTGTCTGCTTTGAAATTTTAATTATTCTTTAAGTGAGCAGATTGACCGAGGGACACTACTGAAGTATCTTATGTCTACTTTAGGCACTGACAGATGCCTCTTGTGAGGCAGACATCAGTTGGCTATGATACAGATTTAGAATAATTGTTGTTTTCCTAAGCTCAGTCTAACATTGTGATATATACACCCATGTATTTGTTTTGATTTTTGTCCTTCTGCCAATAAGATTTGTTACTGGTATGGTATGCAGCACACAGGATTTTTAGGACTAACTTAAGATATGTCATATCCCCAAAGGAGTTTGAATCGTGACAGCTCAGAGAATACTCCTTTTGTCTAACCATCTGATTGTGGATGTTTTTAATATATCTTTCTATAATGTTTCTAAGTGTTTTGAGTTCCTGCTCTCTGTTGCTCACTGAAGTTGACTTTGGTGTGGTGCTCCATTGGTCTCTTCTGATGCTGTCATTTACTCTTTCATTATGCTTGTGTGAGTACCAAAACTGGTTATTTGTACTGGGACTTCCACAGCAATTGGGGTGACAATGCACTGACATCAGAATCCTTGCCTTTAAGTTTACTAAGTTGTAAACTCTTAACAACATAAAAAGCTGATACTCTGTGTACCTCTAAGTGTGCTAGTACTAGGTATGAAGCTGTTAATGGGTTGCAGCAGGCAGTCTGCTCTGGCCCCATCCTTGGGAATCATGTTTCTTTTTCCATTGATTACATGAAGGATGCTCTTTTCTGTTTGTTCTTTAGCAGTATCTCTCAATTCCTTTCGTAACTTCTTTCTGAAGATGTGGTAGCTTGTTACAGGCTCTGCTTTAGTAGCAAATAGTACGTTCCTGTTCTCAGGTTTGGAGATTGTTGAGCGTCTCTGCAACTCTTCAATAAAATCTTGTGACAGAATATTCAATAATCCAAAAGCATTTCTCAGAATTACTTTTTGGGGTTTTTTTTTCCTTAGATTTTTTCATGGATGTCAGAGGTGTGTGTTTGTTTCCTGTGTAATGAGTTGGACTCTTGTAGTAATGTATATATCTTCCATTCATGGAGCAATCCTATTATATGCTGACTTTTTTTTTTTTTTTTGTTTGAGCAGGCATGGACGAAAACCTTTGGGATTTTTATCTTTAATTTGCACAAAAAGTAGTTCTGAAACTGCAGAAAATTCCAAAAGGAGTAGAGGGAAGATCCCAAAACCTCGGCTTGTAACTCCAAAGCGAAACCTAAAAAACCACACTCCATCCCCGAAGGATGACAGGGAATCTTGTTCTCTTCCCTCTACAAGTACATCATCATCTGTGGAGTATGAGCATATAGCTGCTGATGCTGCAGTTATGGTATGTGTTTACCTTTGAATGCCCTTGCATTTTTGAGATGTGAAGAACAAATAATTAGTTATTTCAGGGGCAGGTAGGTGGTATGTAGTGTTCATGTTTTGAGATCCTTGTCCTGGTGACTTGTGCTTGTCTTGGAAACTTAAAAGGGAAGTGAGCTGTTTTTTCTCTGCAAGTATGAATATGTGTTTACTGTATTCAGTAAACACTGAATTTTTGGATAACCTTCCTATCTAAATTGGAAGCTCAAGTGCATATGTGTGTGTGTGTGTGTGTGTGTGTGTGTGTGTGTGTGTGTGTGTGTACACATATACATACATACACACAAACAGATTAAGACTGTTAAGAGGAGCTTTTTCTCTTTGTATTAGGTTCCAAGTAACAAGCCATCTGAGAAGCCACCCCTTTGTGCTAAAGGTCAAGAGAAGGAAGAAGAGCCAACCAGAATCTCTGAGTATTTTTTCAGTGATATCTTTATGGAAGTGGATGATTCAGAATAGCAAGTCAGCTTTATAAAAACCTAGGATCTGAGAATATAATGCAACAAGAAAAGAGTATTTTTTTCAAAGTTCTTATGTCGATTATGCCACACTTAATGTAATCCAAGCTATTTTTAATTCCATAGAGATGAAAGGTATTTCTTCTGAAGCAACCTGGATACTTTTAAGATGTTGACATAATCTAAAGCTCTACATTGATGTCATTGTACCAGAGCAGCACCTGCTGGCTTGTAGTTTCACTTTAGATGCTGATAATGGATGCATGACTATCTTCAAGAAAGTGCAATGAAAAAATGCTTAATTTTTGTTGCAAGCTTCCCTTTGAATTTTAATGCTAAAGCTTGTGGTACTGGCTGTACAAGTTCTTTACTTCTTTTTGTGAAGTATGTTATGTTAGTGTGTTAGAAGGAGGAATGAACCTTTTATCTATAGTGTAATCTTCATAGATCAAGATGCAAATACTGGAAGTAGCGTAGTAAATACATAGATATGTTCAGCACTGCAGGTATTTTTATTAGCATCTTCAAATCATGTATTTTTATAAGGGTTTTTAACCATGTGAATTAAAAGATCCTAACCGAAAATCCGGATAGGTTTAGTTCCTTAAAAATGTATTGAGAACAACTGGAAAAACACAACTTATTGAAAATGCTGCGCAGTGTTAATCTTTGCGGCTGTCCTGTTGGCGTGGAAGGAAGAGGTTAATGTTTCCTAGTATAAATCCTGATTTCCTTCTAAATACGAAAACAAGGGGATAAATACCATTTCTTTTCTTTGGTTTTATGTGTAGGTGTTCATGTATCTGCTGACTTCCTTGGTTTCCCTTGTGCAAAGTAGTGCAAAGTGGTAGGATTTAAACCATGATTATACAATGTGGTTGCTTTGAGGATTTGCTACTTTGAAGGAGTAGAATTTGAATGGTTTTCCTCATGTTGCATGTCTGCTTGTACTGTAACTCACTATAAAAATGCTGATGTAGCTTTATGATTTTTTACTTGCCTCATCAAGAAGATTGTCTTGTTGAGACAACTAGGCTCATGCAGTCTCAAAGTCAGATCACAGGTCATTCACAGATTCAGTACTTATTCTGAAACTCCTTCTTACACAAAAATGAGTGTGGAGAATTAAGTAGTCTTTATTTTTCTCCTGTTACTTCATACCAGCAGGTACTTTTGCAAAACAAATGATTTATTGTTAAACTGATGTTTAAATGGTATTGTGCTCTCAAGGAGCATAACAAAGAAACCTACCTTCAGTTGGACTGGATAACCAGTTACTGGCAAAGATTTTCATATAAGTAGTTTAAATACTTTTGAGACTGCTTGCCTTTTCAGAAAGCAAGGCTTCTGAAGGAACCTTTGAAAGTTTGTCAATGAGGAAGAATACACAGAAAAGCTATTGTTACTGCAAATTGCTACATTAGCAGGCCTCTGTCAATCAAATGGGTCTAGCTGCAGTATCTTCTTGAGGTGATAAAAAAGGGACTAACAGTCCCAGTATAAAGTAACTTACTTGAAAGCATACTGTCAACCCCCCTCACCACCCAGAAGACCCCAAAAACACTCATCACCAACAGTTTCTGTTCACATAGGATCTTGTGCTTTGCCTAATCCATTTAACTTGAAATGCTTATCTAAATATTGTCTTACTTGTAAACATTATGAAATAGATTGATCTATACATAAAGGGCCATGTATTGTATATCTTGCAGATATTATTTTATGTAAGCAAGTGTTAGATTCCAGATACATGTGGCATGTTTAAATCACTTGCACTTGTAAGAGACTAAAACAGATTTGTGGGGAGTCACTATAGAATAATTGCCCTAAATACTTTGAGGTGATAACCATTCCACATTTAGTTGTGTACATTTTAGCTTGCATCCTTATTACAAGACAAAAGACAACCCAGCTATTTCATTACTAAAATTTAAGGTGCCTTATCTACCTGTTAATTGGGGCTACACACTTTTTTTTTCCCTGCAGTAAGTCACATGCACTTTGTTAGAGGGTTTGTTTGGGTTTGGTTTTTTTTTTAAAAAACAAATTTAATTTGAATAGAGGTAAGACAACTTTGTGTTCTAGTTGTGTATGAAAGTTTTATAATGGTGAAGGAGGTAAGAAAAGGTTGAAATCTCAATCCCTATTAGTTTAGCATTTCTACAAAGATGTGGCATTAGACTGCTTTGCTTAGAGTTGTCCAACACCCTGTATCATTGCTTATAACCTTTCTGTTTCAAAGAAAGTAGTCATATTCTCTGTGTGAATTATGTGAATAAATTATTTTATATTGCCTCTGTTTCCATTTCTTGGAATAGCATTTGCAGTTTTTAAATGCTCACAGGTATAGTAAGTTAACAAAACTGTTGGCTAAATGGATGGCTGAAGCTCTGACTGCAGCGCTTGGGGTGCAGACGGTGGTAAGAGACTAAGTACATTTGAACCCGGGCTGTGTGGTGGGTTTCTCTGGTTTTGGGTATGTTTTAGCCTAATTTACTTGGTGTCTAACTTCGTAGTGTTTTCTCTTTGTAAATACAAAATAAAACTGGAATGCTGGAAAACAGCAAAGCTTTCACACGAGGAAGAATAAAAAATAAACGATGTGCCACTCTTACTGTAGCATCTCAGCCGTTCTGCAGGTAATGACAAAAGGGCCAGGGCTCTCCGGGGGTGTGCACAAGTGTGTAATCCCGTCTGGGAACAAAAGTCTGCCAGTGGGAGTTCTTCAGCGTTGTCTTGCAGCCGGGGCCGATGGGGAGCTTGCGCTGGCCTGTCGCCGACTGGCAAAGGGAAAGGCTTTTGTGTTGTACGAGTCTGGTTCTCTCATTCCGCTCTATACCCCACGGCCGGCAGGACGGGGCACTGCGGGCAACGACGCTACGGCCCGGCCCGGCCCCGGGGCCCCGCTCT